GTGAGTTCTGAGTCCCTTTGTCACAGGGTGTTGTGTGGTGACAGATAACAGATGTTTTCTGTCCTTCATTCACTTTTAAGAGGAGCTGTGAGTTTCCAGATTGGATCCTCCTAGCTGCTGCTGGTGGTGGTATTTGTGTGTGGATGATAGACCTGCCCACCTCTGGCTGCTTTTTTACTTCCCTCTGTCCTGTTTTGTTTCAGTAGTTGTAAAAACAGGACAAGAATTTCTCGAGTGTTTTGCATCTCTTCATTTAGTACTACGTAATTATCAACAGCATTTATGCTGAATATCTACTGCAAGCTGTGAGTACCACACAAGTCGGTTCTGCAATGGATAGGTCTGGCTGGCTTATGAGCAGAGTGACACACTTTTAAAATAGCAAACTGTTTATTGCAATCTTGATGTGATGGCATTTTTATGAAGGTCAAAGAGCTCTCTCCACAGGCTCATCTCATGGCCCCGGGGGTTCTCAGGCAGGTTCACCAAAGATCCAGTGCTGCCCTGTGCTTTCAAAGGAGGCAAAATGGAAGACAGGGTGGGATTTGAGTCTTATTAAAAAAATTCTCCTCTCATCACCCCTGTTCCTCCTGCTTGCTACCAAACGAATAAGCCAAGTCAGGAATAGCCAAAGCTACAGCATCAAGAAATAATGTCTTAAAGCTGCCTTTGGGTGGGCATTTCACTGGCATGGCCTGCAGGCTGTGTATACTCCAATGAAGAGGTAACCAAATTAAACATTTGCTTTTGTGCTGTGCCTCCTGTAACATTCTTTAGAAGAATAACTGTCACCGTGAGGCCTTTGTCTTCATCCTTCTGTCGTCCTTTTGTTCCTTCCTTCCCTTACTCATTTCTATGTTTTTATCAAGAGATTGTCTCACTATGTAAACCAGGCTAACCCAAAACTTGTGCTCTACCTCCCTCAGGCTCCAGAGTGCTGGGATCATAGGTGTGGAACACACCTGGCATAGCTATCTCTTAGGAGAATGAAATAATTAGACTTGTTTGAGTACCTACTATGGGCTAGATAGTACTTTAGCCTTTCACTTCCCTGATCAAATTTAAAGCCTCTTAAAGAAGCAAGACAGACAAGGCATCATTGCTCTTTCTGTGAGGTAGAGAAATGAATTAAGACCCCAGAGACACTGGGCATCTTTGGTTGTCAAGTTACTCTTCCATGAGCTGCAGAGCAGAAAAATGATATGGAAGATTCACCCCCACCCATGTTCTTTCAGCTGTGACGTGGCTTTAACTAGTTTTCAGCAAACATAAAAAAATAATAAACCAGGCATGTGTTGGTTGCCTAGGGATGGGGCGTGGAGAGACACAACTCAGGGGGCTGTTTGGTTTTGTTCAGCTAATGAAAATGATCTAAAATTGACTGTGGTAATAGTTGCATTTCTGAGGATATATAGTAAACGTTGTTGAATAATGAGGGGAAATGCATCTTGGGAAAAATGATGGCAGGTGAAAATTGGTGCTGTGAGGTACCGATTATGTATCTGTGTTTGAATTTAGGGTTTGGTATTAGACAGAGTGGAATAAAGTAAGAGTATGCAGAAGGTACATTAAACAAAGAATATGCTGGGAATCTTCCCTACACACTTACAGGCTCAGATTCTTAGGGGTGGGTGGGTCCAGGACTTCCATTTGCAACTGACGTCTCCAGTGACTCAGGATTAAGTCATTATGTCCCTGTGTGGTCTCAGTCCTGATCCTGTTGAGATGTAATTTTCTTGTGTAGCCTGAGGGAACCCCAGGTTATCTCCAGGGGGATAGGGATGGGGTCCCAGTGTCTTTACCTGTGCACTTGCCTCTGAAAGTCTCTTTCACCATTACTAAGAATAATCTCTGAAGAGTTGAATAGAGACCCTTGGACCAGTGGCCTCTTCTATGTATACTCTAGACCTGTGCTAAGACATTTATTTGCACAGCCTCATAGAGTTACTCCCGAAAACCCCATGGGGAGTGGACACTCTGATTGCCTCTATCTCTGCAATGGTAGAAACAGGAGCACAGAGTATGCCAGCAGTTTGAGTAGGAACACAAAGGCTAACTCCAGTCAAAACAGCAGCATTCTGGAAGTGTCCTTCAAATTATGTATTCCAGTGTAGCTTCAGAAGATCCATACTTATTTAGAAGAACGTTTTCCCGAAAGCTGGCTTCAATTTGATTGTGGCTTTGAAGCATTTTCTTCCTTTTGTGGTTTTCCCACAAACAGGCAGGGATTCCCAGGGTTGAGTACAGTGGATCAACATCAGTGACCACTACAGGTGATGTCCATGGAGAACACTAGGTGCTGAAAGATGAATGTGATGTCTGTCACTTCTTCATGCCATTCCCTGACCTAGCAGACATGATTCTCTCCCAAGGTGAATCAAAACCAATACAGATGGCAGGAAGAAGCAGGCATCTATGGGAATTTTGCTATCATAGTTACAATTTCTTATCCAAACTCTCTGGGAGAGACCAAGCCCCTACCATCTTGACAAAGTTCTCCCGAGGTTCTAAAAGTGGGCCCCCCAACAGTATTGGAGCAACCAGCTGTTAAGATGCCAGCTGATCTACCATAAAATAAAAGATCTGATGTCAAGGGTGTCAGGAAAATGAGTTAACCAAAGTTTAACAACTTTGCATTGGCATGGAACTCTTCAGAACCCCGGGCCTTTCTTCCCCTGCAGGCATTTACCACTCTCTATATGCCAGGGAATATGACATCTGTTTAAACCATTATTCCATTTTTGCAGCCATCTAGGAAGTATCTGGTGTGGTTATCTCCATTTTGCAGGTCAGGAAAGCAGGACTTGGAGTTTGCTACTTTGAATATGCCTGACCAAGTCTCTTCAGAAGCTAAGCAGGGTCAAGTCAGGTTAGTACTTAGATGGGAGAAAATACAGACCGAGAAACTGAATGATTGGCTGAAGGCACCAAGACCAGCAGAGCAAGGGCAGGACTAGGACTCCTGTGTGGCTGGCTGAGTCTAGGCCCAACCCAGCTTGTCTCTTCCTATAAGAAGGGCATGACTTGCAAACCTCAGTCTTGTTTTCATGCTTTGTCTATACAGTGAACAGGTGACATTTGAAAAAGACCAGTGACCCCAAAGGAAGTTGGCCTGGCCCTCTTTTCTCCTCCCATATAAGGTGAAATAAGCACAGGTACACTAAGCACAGCAGCTGGGGGATCCATTTGAACAGGAAACAGCTTTCAAACCTTTGACATGATCTGAAATACTGTCTAAAGACATCAGACCACAGCAGACTGATAAAGGCCAGGATGCAGCCTGCATCCCCAGGGCTGTCATAGAACCCTAATAGCTTTGTTTTTCACAGGCAGAAGGGGGGCAGTATGCATCTCAATTTAGTAGGTCTGCGTGTTCCAAATTGTTTGCATTTCTTAATATGGGATTTGACATGTGAACAATTATTATCCAATGCAGGAACCCAAATCTGCCTCTCTCAAGTCAACAGCTTGGTAGTCAGGGGACTCTCATTAAACACGTGCCTCTTCCCCAGGGTGGAACTTTTGTGCCCCCAGATTTCAAACCAAATTGATTTTGAGCTCTGGAGCCTTTGTCAAATTTCTTCTGCATTTCTTCCTTAAGTCTTAGGAAGATGTCCCATGTTCTCATTTGAGGGTGTTTGTCTCCCAGCAAGATGTCTGCCCAGCAGTAGTAATGTTAAGTGCCCAGGTCAGCAGTGCAGCACTCCAGAAGTTATGGACAACTCAATGCCTGGAGCTCCACCCAAGATCTAGTAAATCCAAAGCTCCTTGAGCAGCAGGGTGCTCACCTTCTTCTAATACAAAAACCATTTGCTTAGTGGTCCTTACCTGCCATGCCCACTTGCTTATATAGCCTGCAGCTTCCAGTTATCCCTCCACTCCACTTTCTTCTCTCTATCCTATACCTATGCCATTTGAACACCATCTGTGTGCAAGAGCATCCTAGCTGGTGTCCCCAACCCCAGTCCAACTTTCCCATTGAGTTTAGTTCCCATTGAGAAGTCAGAATGACCTTTTAAGAAGGCAAAAATGACACACAGGTACCTTGTCTAAAGTTTGTATTGTCTGTCTCCTGCTCATCCTCTGTTCACAGTCAGTAAAGAGTTCTACCTCTACCTCTTTGGGTAGATGTAGGATCCAGCGGTGTATAGTGAATGAAGAATAATGAAAGCAATACTCATGGTTGGTTCTGAAAATAGATGTTCCTACCCTCCAACCCTCTGAGGAACAACTTATCCATTAGCATCAGACAGACATACTCTCAACTTACAGTACCACCTTTAGTGGCCGAATTCCTTTAGTGTGACTCTCCCTTACTTGGACATCCATGACCTAGTTCTGAGCAGGTATGACAATACTCAGCCAAGTTCTGGGAAAATTAAGTAACACAATAAATGTGAAGGGCCAGAACTCTGGCACATAGTATGGAATTAATACTTCAATTATAACCACCACTTGACCTAGTCACCCAACTAGTTAATTCAAAGACTCAACTCAAAAAGTTCCTCAGTCCTGCTGCCCACTCTGCTGGGAAAGTTGAAAACAAATTTGTTCCTTCAAAGTCCAATTCCCCAGACTTATGGTCAACAACTTGACTGTGTTTTTCCCCATGTACCAGCAGCAATACTTCAGGAATTAATTTATCTTGTGTTTTACTTCTGTCGCTTTTGTAGTTCTCTTTGATGAAACTGACTTTCTTGAGATGTATCTAATAGAGGAATTTCCTTAAAATGACAAGTAATGGGAAGTGAACAAAGAAATAGCACATTGTCCCACAACTGCCCTGAGCACGGACACCACACCCAAGTGCATGCATATGTGAGCACACACGCTACAAGACACACCTCTGCACTAGAGATTACACAGACTTATAGGTACCAATTAGAGGAGACACACACATAACCAGGTCACATATAAACACTGGGACTCTGTGTCCCTTCATTATTTAATGTTGAGTTTGACAACACCTGGACAAAGAGGGAGCAAAAGTAATACGGTACCTTTTGGTGACTTAAGCGTCGACACTGCCCAGTCACCATCAGAATTTCCTAAAAAAATAACAATCAAGAGATGCTGATCTGGTTGCCAGGAAGCCCATGCTGTGGTACCCTCACACCCAGGTGGCATTTGCTGTCTCAGCTGCAGTGTCCAAGGAATCTGGCCTCAGGGGACCCAGGAAACAAGGAAGTGAGCTAGTATGAACTTGCAGTAGGTATGTAACTGTTCCTACAAGACCTAACAGGATATCAGGAGAGACATACCCTGAGCATCCAAGGCAACAGCAGCAGAGGAAGGATTAACAAACAGTAGTCTGCTTATAAGTTTCAACTCACTATGAGAGGTTGGTTTCAGTAATATGTACACAAGTGAACAAGATATGGAATTTGCTTCCTGTTTGCTACAGATATTCTTCTGAAAGAGGGTATATCATTGTTAAGGCACACTCCAATCCCAAGGCTAGGGCATGCCCTCATGCCCATATTTGTAAATGCTGCATTGGGTACAACCTGCCTTTCCAAATGCTTACGTGTGAAAAATACTGTTGAAAGAGTGAGTGAATTCACTCTTCTCCAAAGTCACTTTTCTTAAGTAGAAAAACTCCCCAGCAAAGCTAAAGGGATTAAGCTTGTTCTCAGAGAACCCCATAATGAGTAATTCGCTGTTTTACAGAACAAGTATGTGACTGGGATTTGAGTTATAAATCAGGTTTTCCAAATCTAATTCCAGATGTGCCCAGTAGCCCCTGGGCAAGTAGTCTCTTTCACAGAGCTTCAAGGGACATCTCGTAGAATAAACAATTTTGAGAAGAACTCTGATTGTACCCCACTTCTTCATTAGCATCTTCTGTAAAATTGAATTTAAAGTGAAACAACCTCTGCCAATGAAAGCCTCACCCTATTGGCTGCTAGCCTGACCTATCAGCGAGTGCTACTGGCTCTCCTCTTTCCTAGGAACCTATTTGGGGAGACTAGTCCTGAACACTTTCTGTACTTCCAGAGACCAACAGGCTGAGAGGAGATCGAGGGAGTAGCCTGTGGCCAGTATGATTATAGAGCACAGATCTGACCCCATTTAAATATTTCTGGTTGGCCTCCCTGGCATGCCAAAGAACTTTTAAATTGCCATGTACCCCCTGGGGATCCGAACCCTACACCCTCAGCACTCACTACAGAATGGAACTGGGAACGGCAGGAGAGTGAGTTAACATTCAGTGCCCTGCCTGCTATGCTTCACCATGTCTTCTCCCCTCTGGAAATAGACATAGAGCCCCAGATCTTCCTTTGCTTGTTCACACTAGTCTGACTAGCCCCCAAGCCACAGGCTCCAAGGAAGGAATCTTCCCCTAGAATGAAGTTTGCCTTTGAGGTAGGATCCGGTCTTCTGTCACCTTTCTCCAGCTTTTTGTCACCTTTGCCCAGCTTCCACGTCATGGTGTAGGGCTGACCAGGTGGTAACAAATTTTCTTCTAAGACTCCACTGACAATGAGTATAGTAATAAGAGGATGGCCGGATGCACGGGCTCCTGAACAGGTACTTAGTGGTATTGGCTGCCATTAGAGGAATATTTGGAGATGAAATTGCTTATTAAAAGGAGATGGACCTTTTTAGACCAAACAAGGACTGTAGAAAGGAAAGGGCGATGAAGGAAGTGTGCTGACTTATTTCTTACCTTTATTGGGATGTTTTAACTCAGTTACACTCAGTACCATGGGGAAGTTTTTAGCTTCACAGCAAAAACAACTGACACCTTGGTGTAGGGAATGTGCCCTACAGAAGAAGAGGAAGTGGAGAATGGGTCTTGAAAACTCTTTTGTCTAGTGGTATACTCTGACAGTCACAAATAGCCCTGTAAAGACATCATTTTGTGCAAACAATAGGGTTTCCAAGTCAAACCATCTTAAATGTGAACTTGATTACTTAACTGTGCTGAGCCTCAGTTTCTCCATTAGTCATACCCCAGTATAGTACGTTCATTGTCTCCCTTGGATATGTCCATCAGTCACACCCCAGTACAGTACATCCACTGTCTGTCTTGGACATGTGCTGCTTTGGAGTTCAGTGGCATTAGCCTCAGCTAATATCTAACTTTAAAAAAAAACCAGAAGTCATCAGTCAGTTCATGGCTGAGAACGCCATATATTTCTTTTGGTTTTGGTATGAGATACCCACAGTGAGGCTAGAGAGGGAATCCCTGCATCATTGCTGATGTTTTCCATTTTTATTGGAAGATGCACTGTATTCTACAAAAATGATTATCTGTCCAATAGCAAAAGGGAAATATTTTTCTTAATATAAAATTAAACTTTGGGTTAAAATGAAGGCATGTAGCATTTCATTTTCATGCTGGTAAATTCCTTCTTTCTTACACTGGGTGGGAAGATTGCATTGAGCTACATACATAGCCTATGATAAGGGACCTCCAACAGTCTAGGAGCTCAAGCCTCAGAAATCTAGAATCAGAGATCAGGGCAGATGGGAGTTAAATATGGACTGCAGGCAACTTCCTGTTTGCGATGTCTATTGGGAATTACATAGTAGGATGGAGTTTTCCCTGCTCTGGAGATAGGAGTACTCCCTCTCTGAAGCACCAGGCGATCTTTAGGGATATCTTCATGGACACCTCTGCCTTACTAGTATTGTACTAGGAAGAGGTACAGCAGTCCACACCATGTACCTGCCCAGCATGTGGTGACCTGTGTCAAGGAAGGTGAATACATAGTCATGTCAACCTATAAGGCACATTTCTCAGCTTCAATCTTGATTGGAAACATCTCCAAACTGTGAAGGGAGCCAGGTGAGTGATGTGTCCCTTTTGGTGGATAGTAGCATACACACATCTGCATCCCATTTCTTGCAGACTTAGATGGAGGAAGTGAAGTGGCTTGGGCTGGCCTTGCTAATTGTTAGGATTCACAGGAAAGTATTTTGTTGTTTGTTCTCTTGCTTGTTTTTTGCTTGTTTCCAGATTCCTAAAGTGAGCTAACTTTCAGCATGTATTTCTTTCTCAAACTGGTATCAAGAATATGGATTCTGCTCTCTCCCTCAAATCAAATTGTGTGCCATTCAAGGTCCTAGTGTATGTGGGAAATTAGAAGGACATGACTAGCAGGCAGTTCTTCTGGAAGGAAAAATGTAATAGGCCGTAGTAGTTACTACATGTGAAGAACTTTTCCTAAGCTCTATCATTGGCTCCATGTAAGCCATTCACTATATGTACTTATGAATTTGTCTACACAGGAGAAACTGAGACCCAGGGAACCTAATTGTTTCTAAATTGCATTGATAATGTTGGGGTCAGGACTTAAAACTCAGTCCTGACCAATTTTAGTGTCATGTACATCCTTCCTTCTTGCTGGTTACCTAAGGTTCTGACTTGGCATGATGGCTTTATAAAGGGCACTGATAGTTTGAAATGCCCCATATGGTACTGTGTACTGGAGACATTGTAGATGGTATTATATAGGTCCATACCTCAGTGTCACCTATAGACAAGGGACACCAAATTCAGTGCCTGAATAAATGAAATCTAATTCCAGCATACTTTCCCCCACAGAATCCTGTGTGGCTCAGTCCCTGACATTTTCCTCTTGTATACTAGTCTTTCACCAATAACTTAGCAGTGAGCCCTCTGGGAACAGACCATTTTACTGTCGCATGTCCGATATGACCAAACAGTGTGTGTCAAGGCCCTGAAGTCTAAAAGAAGAAAGTTCTAAGAATGAAGGGGGTGATTTCAATAAAACAGCAAAAACAGAATACAAGACAAAGGGCATCAGGTTTGGGGATCTAAATTGGGGCTTAAAAAAAAAATCATGGTATAACCCTTTCTTCAAATCTGATCTCCCACCAAACTAGCAGTAGGTGAATGAGATGTTTCAGCCCCACAGTTATTCTGGTAACTAGAAGAGGTGGAATAGTTTCATATTGCAATTATCAAAATTGGAGTGGTGTTGGGGACCATCCAACCCTGCTCCCTTGCTTATTATATGAAGTAGAAGTCTAGGCGTTTCAGTGGCTGGCTCAGTGGCACACAGCTAAGTAAGGGCAGAGCCTGAACATTCTAGCTACACCTGAGAGATAAGCACCTGATGCTTTGGATATTAAAGCATTCAAGGTAGATTTTTTTAAGTCGGCAGTTAACACTACAGGTTGGCTAGACCCTCCTTATCCACTGGATTGAAAGTTTTTACACAGTGGGTCTGGCTCTGGGAGGTTGCCGAGCTTTAGATGGCAAACCATTTTTAAACAGCCTTGCCCCTGGGTGGTAATGATCTTCTGATGGAATAGATCACCCCCCCCCCTACACACACACACACTGGGTTTGCATTACACCTTAATAAAGAACCCTTGAAAGAACATTTACTATGGGATTTGAAGTTCACTGATGCAGACAGACTCTGAAGTCCTGGAGATTGACTGGGTCAGGCTGTTCCTCAGTCAGTCACAAACTGACACTCCACTCAAAGGCAATGCACCAATCACCCATGGCTCAGTTAGAGCCCAAGAACTCCACAGTTTTCTGAGGAGAGGAAGGGAAGCAAGTTAGCCATTTACTGGGTTGGGGCAAAAATCCCAATAGAGATTCTTCCATTTGCTACAAGATACAAAGATGATTTCTTAAAACCCAGCTAGTATCTGATTCTTGTCAAAGGCAAGCTTATTCATTCATGCAAAAAACATTCCAGGAGTTCCTGGTCACAGAAGAAAGGCCTACATATGGAGGGTCAAACATATTTTCATATTGCAAATTTCATTCCAAATGCTCTGCGGACATTTCTTGTCTAAAGCAACTCTGCAGAAATCCCAGGGAGGATCAAGGAGCTGTGTTGGAACATTCATTAATTATTTACCCTAAGAGCTACTAAGTATCTGGTTTGTGTGAGGGTCTAAGTTAAAGAAATGAGTTGCATGGAATAATTTGGCTAGTTCCCAAAGAAATAAAACACATCTGTGTTGATTATTTTTAATGTCTAAAGGAGAAGCTCATATAACAACAGATGTTATTTGTCACTGAATTTCAGGGTCCTGAAAGGGAGGGGGCAGACTAGTACTTGCAGGTTGCTGCAGTCATGTGAGCAGTGAAGACATGCTCATCTGTTTTCCTCAGCAATACTACTTCTCATAAAATGTGGATGCATAGGATGTACATGTTATACAAGAACGGTCTGGATCAAGAAAATTGATGGCTATATAGCTCCCCAGGAGCTAGGGGAGGCAGAAAAAGAAAGCATGAGGCTTGGATAACTAGTAGGGAAAGCCTTACCAGGAAGGAGATTTAGAAAAGCCTGTCTGTCAATTAAGCATGTGACCTTGGCACTATACACTTTGCTCAGTCTCTTCTAATCCTTCCATCCTGAAGGCTTAGGCAATTGGGGAATAGGAGCTCTTCGACTTCTGATACAAACACTAACCACCTAGCCTGTCTCTGGCCTTATGTGAGGTTTCAATACACTTGTTTTATGAGTATTATTATCATTATCAACCACAGATACCACAAGCATCAGAGCCACATCGTAGTGAGTGTCTGTACTTTGGGTTCTGGGGTTAGGATATTTCATAGCTGAATGAATCAAAGAATACCTACTATCCTTTCTCTCCTGAGGGGCTAGAAGAAAATAAGATGAGCAATTGATAGAAAAGACAGCATATCTGTGGCATCCTCTATTTGTCCAGTGTTTCCTGGGACCAGAACTATATGAGAAGAAAAGAATAACAGTTAGAAGAGCAGAAAGATCTCCACTAATCACTCAAACGGAATTCCACCCTAAGGGAGTTGTTCTGGGACTCAAAGGTCCTGATAGCCAACCCATTAGTGAAGGAGAAGAGTCCTCTGTTAAGGAGGATATTTAAAGACAATGACGAAGACCTTCTGGGAGGACCCAAGCTCAGCCTGAGAGAAGATAGAACCAAGAAAGGAGTCAGCATGGCCACTCACTGGAGAGTGGAAACCTGGGAAAGAGGGGCATAGTGAATGATGTCACTCAGCTTGTTCACTTGAAAGGTCTCTGTCTACACATTTTATAAACTGGAAAACTGAGGACTACTGAGGGTTGGGTGTTGCACAGTCACCCAGAAGCTATGTGGTGGAGCCAGGATTTGAGTTCATATCTGTCTGGTTCTTTTCAGCTCCTTAAAACATAAACTCAGAGAAGAGGCAGGCTAAGTGGAAAGGCAGGCTTAAAAACCTCTCCTCAAAGAGAGGACTACAGAATGGAACTCACAGTATGTAACAAGAAGGAAACAATTTTCTTGTGTTTGGAGTGAGCAAGAATGTAGGAAGCAGGCACTGCATTTGGGAGAGGACAGGAAGAGCAAGCAGTGGACAGAGGGTCTAGTTCTCTTGAGTGCCGGCTTGTAGAGGAGTCTAAGTCAGTAGCCCTCAGCTTTGGCTTCATATTAGAAATATCTAGACTTTTAAAAATCTCACATACAAGGGTGTTTAGTCATGTATCTCTGTGCACCTTGTGCATTCCTGGTGTTTATGGAGATCAAAAAAAAAAAGTGTCAGATCCCCTGGAATTAGAATTACAGATGGTTATGAGCCACCATGTTGGTGCTGGGAATTGAACCAGGGTCCTCTGAAAGCCACTGAGCCATCTCTCCAGCCCCCTTTGTTTTCTTTTTCAAATGACCATGTCTGAGCTCTATCCTCACCCAGCTCGGTTAAAATCCCCAAGGCACACTGGGACCAGAGAACTGTTTACTGCACTCATTTGATGCTGGGCCATCTCCATCATTGAGAACCTCAGTTGCCACAACCAACCACAAATCAGGAACTGACAACTTTTCTGTGGCCGTGACTTCATCCAGTGGAATGTGTCTGAGAGCAAAGCACCATGTTCAAGCAGGAGAGACAGAGGAGACATAGAGGGAGATGGGTACTAGGGTAACAGAGGCAGCAAGGAGACATGAGAAGGAGAAGGGGACTATGGTGATAGAGGCAGCTGTTCAGTCTCAGCTCTGTTTCCTGCTGCTGTTCGGTGTGTTGAATCACTGCTGTAGTTGATGTTCCTTAATGTAGTCATTGAGCTAATAATTGTGTTTCTTCCATGGATCAGTGAGACAGCATGCTTAGGAAGTCAAATGTAGTACTATACATTTGGCAACAACAATATTTGTAGCAGCTCTAGAGTCTAGAGACTAGACCACCCTTCCCCAGGAAATGTTACATCCTGGAGGAGAGAGACTGCCTGAGCAAAGATTGTGCACTAACCATAGCTTCTCAGAGATGGCAGAGGATGTGTGGGTGATTGACATGACCTTGTTAGAAGTCCAGGCATTGTTAAGACTGACAGGCCAGATTCCACACCTGAGGGTCCCAAGGACTACCTAAGGCAGATGGGGAATGATTAAGTGGGTTAAACATAAGTGGGACCACATGAGCATCCAGGTTATTCTCCCCAGGAAAGAGTCTTAACTAAACAAGTGCTCCAGATGATCACCCTGCCCAGACAGCAAGGCAGGACTCAACTAGTTCAGAGGAAGAGTCCTGGTTCTAGATAAATGGGTAGATATAGATAGTAGATAGATAGATAGATAGATAGATAGATAGATAGATAGATGACAGATTCATAAATTGACATATATACATAGATAATAGATTTGTAAATAGATATGTATATACACACATAGATGATAGATAATAGATTCAAAGACATATATACAAAGATATAGATAGATGATAGATACACACAGATGTATACATACATAGGCAAATGCATACATAGATATGCACATGAATTTTTTAATAATATAAACATAACATATGATAAATAGGCAGATGAATGATAGATGATAAATGATAAATAAGGAGAGAAAATAGGTTTAATAAAGAAATAAGAGTAAAAAATAAAAAAGTCTACTTGGAGAAGCCAAGTAGAGGAGCAGGGGCGGTAAGAAAACAGATTTATGCAGAATATCCTTACCTACTGCCTTTAAGGAGGCATACTTGTTGAGCTCTTTGCCTGGAGGCTGCTGTTCATATGGATTAGAAATCTGGCCCAGGTTGGGATAAGAATGTGGGTGTCCCATTTGCTGGAGCAGAGGAGAAGTGGGCACTGCATTGTTCATCTGAGTGGTATCTGAAAATGGAGAGATAAATGGTCATAAACAGAGCAGGACCTTCCAAGCACGCCCTACCATCATCACATCCCTCCAGCCTAAAACCTTCCCAATACTGTGGACATGCATGGAAGAGCATCAGCCAGAATGGTAACATGTCAAGTTTCTATCACTGTACAGCTACTCATGTTGTCAAAACAGTGTGTGATACAACAGAGAAATGGCTCAATGGTTAAGAGTCCATTGTGCTTTTGTAGAGAATGCAAGTTCTGATATTTAGCACTGGTATTTAGCATTTCACAAACACCTGCAACTCCAGCTCCAGGTCACCTGACATCTCAGGCCAACCTGAGAACTTGTACTCATATGTACATACCCACACAGACAAACAGAGACTCAGAATTAAAATTAAAAGAAATATTGTAAAAATAACAAGATTTGGGGACTGGGGAAATGGCTGGGTGACATGAGTTCAAATCCCAGCATCAGTGTCAGGAAGGCAGGAGTGTGCATGTGTGTGCATGTCTGCCTGCACTTCTAGAGCTAGTGGGCAGAGACAGGCCAACCCTTGGAGCTTTCCAGCCAGCCTAACAGAGACAACAACTTCAAAATATTTAGCTTCTGCCTGTGTGTGCACTGATGCATACATCCCAACACACACACACACACACACACACACACACACACACACACACACTTTGGAACAAACAGGATTTGTGCAGCAAGAAGTTCAACTTCAGTAAATATAACTCAAAGAGCTCCTAGCATCTACCCCTTTGCCAAGAAGCTGATGAATAGGAGGACTGTAGGTCACCAGTGATGGCAAGAGTGCTGGAACAGAGATGTTAGAAGCTTGAGACCTATGTGCAACCTGCTCAGCCTGCCATAGCTGCAGAAAGGAGCCTGGCACACTGAAATGTACACTATATGTGTATGTGAAACAGACAATGTCACCTCTGGCAACCAAACCTACAGAAATATATAATAGCCAGATTGTAAGGATATTTGCTCAGAAACTCTTTTTGTACTATTTCATTGTTTTGTTTATTAATGTAAACTGAAAAAAAAACTTAACTACTATTCTTTTTTTTTTTTTTTTGAGATGGGGTTCTGTAGCTTTGGAGCCTGTCCTGGAACTCACTCTGTAGACCAGACTCGGGAATTCTTAAAAATATTTCACATATGGGTTATGTGCACGGATCATGCATGGATATGGTAGAATATCATGCAACTGTTAGGGGGAAAAGGTTTTAGAGTAAATCCACACTATATGTCTAGGAAGTTTCCAGAGACTGGACAGGAAGCATGCATGGTGGTGTAAATTTTACAGTGTTTATCTTAGAAAAGAAAACGTGCCTGTTTCTGCACACAAAGGCTTACATAAGCTAAACAGAAGATTAAAAGGAACATGTATTGAATACTAACTACTTAGAAGGGACTGAAAATCATATGAAGGGAATTTCCAGAAAGTTCATCTCATCAATGCATTCTGAGATGAGATAAAAAAGAAAAGTAGAGTATCAGTCAGGTTTGGCAGATGAGGGAAGGCACTAGAAGAGGTTACAGGCAGAGGAAATGGGCAGGTGGGTTTGTGACTGGAGGGAAGACGGCAGGTTCATGTTCAGGCTCAGAGCCTGGGGCCTTGGTCTCTAGACACGCATGACTAGAAAATACAGCATGAAGGAAGTAGAACAAGATGAGGCAGCAGAAGCTGGCAGAGCCCAGCCAGCTCGTTGAGGGACCCCATCTTCACCTGGAGAACAATGAAATAAGGTTTAAGGGGAGAAATGGTCAATCCAGGAGAGTCAACCAGGGTCCAGTCTCAACCAGGGAATCTGGTAGGATCTCTCCAGTTTCAGGAAGCACCTGTGTTCCTCAAGATGCACACTGCCACCATGATGCTGGGGCTACCTCGTGAGATGCCATTAGCTGGTACTCACACTCACTTTCTATCTTCAGCTCTTGGCTGCTGACAGCTCACACAGCTGTTGGTATGCAGAGGCTTGCGCTCAGCTTATGGGGCCACCATGCCAGGTTTGGTGTACTTCAAACACTTCACCCTCAATACCTGGGTGGTCTGCAAGAAATGCCTCACTGCCATTAAGGTGCAAAGTACAACCACTTGCTTCAAGGTAGAGGTGACGACAGAGATATTGGTGGGTGCTCAATAACTCCATGGATTGGGAGAGGTTTAGGACTAGGGTTTTCCATAAAGGATCAGACTTTGCATACCTCCATTGCAGCTATTCAATCTACCATTGTAGGAAGAAACTGGCCTGAATGGTATACAAAGAATAGTCATGTCTATTTCAGTAAAAGTTCATTTTCAAAATCAGGTGATGCCAGGTTTGGTTCAAAGGCTTTTATTTGATCAGCCCTGTCTACATTTTACCTGACACCTTCATACTTGTATGGCTATTGTACCTTCCCTTTGTGCTTCTGAACACATGCGTGTGTGTGTGTGTGTGTGTGTGTGTGTGTGTGTGTGTGTGTGTGTGTGTGTGTTCTCTGAAAAGCAGTCACCAAGAGCCATGAACTGAAGCCCTACCTCAGTCTCTGTATGTAAATGATGCAATTCATGACATATGGATATTTTTGAATTCAGAAACCAGTGAACCCAGTTGTAAGGAGACAGGGTACCATAACTGCTTCACAAATATAGGGAGTATGTTTTTATCACTACAAATGTCTGGCCTATCACATAAACCCAAATGTCTAGAGGGGGTGCTGTGAATCACAAACCATCTAATCCAGCTTCAGGCTGGCATCCAAGAGGTAAGGTGTCCTGCTGCCACAGCTTTTGGCTCACACCAAGTGATGAAAGGAAAGGTGTTGATAAGATATGGCACTCACTATGCCCTGGGCCCTGAGATGCTCCTACATTTTCTTATGCAGATCCAACCTCCAGCAGGTATGTCTTCTACCCCTGGAAATGTCAGGCCAAGCAAATATTTTCCCAAATGCTGGTCCAATGGAAAGAAGCTCAGCATATATCATCATCTGATATGCTCTGTGTTTCTTTGTGTGTGTGATTTCTTTTACTGTATGGCCACTGTGTTTATAAATTCAGAATCACCACTCCCTTTAATATGCTTCTTCATTTCTATCAGAGTCATATAATTAGCTGTCAATCATATTAACTGTCTGAGTGTGGGCTTGCCTAGAAATCATGAGATAAGACCTTAAATGGAAGCATACTTGGGGTATTATGTGAGGAAACACTTGCAGCAGAAGGGCAGGAGACACAAGGAGGAATGAAGCAAAGAATGTGACATCTAAGAAGATACACTGGTGGTGAACTGGTTTAATGTCACTCTGGAATTCTGCTGCATGGTGTTGAGTGCCTCCTTTGCAATATATCACTACAGGTACAATGGGGGGCTCCCTTTGTGTTTACATAGCAAGTCTCATCCATTGCTGATTGAGGATCCTTCTTAAAAAACTCAACTCTCAGATCGAACTTAGGTTTGTATCAAAATGGCAATTCTCTTGCCCCACTGCCTTGCTACCAAGCTACATTAGAAACTTCCAGATGGAAAGCAGGATGAGAGGCACAAAGATGAAGTTTATAGTGGAATAAAAGAACTAAATCCTGGTTTTAATCTCATAGTAGGGTGACTATTGACAATAATGAATTGTCTATCTATAATACCTAAAAGAAAGGATTTTTCATGTTCTTACCATGAAGATATGATAAATGATTTGAGGTTATGAATATGTTGATTGACATAATTGAATCATTATGTGGTGTGATCCATGTATCAGGGTACTGCACTTTACCCCTGGATGTGACAATCACTGCATGTCAATACAAAGTGAGATAAAGCTTCTAAGTTTGACTGAGTGGTGCATAAAGAAAGCCCAAGGACATTAGTAAATTAATGACTCAATGCCAGTTCTTTTGTCCCCCTCCCTCAGGAAGAGATCTTAAACACTGGTTTATCTAGTTAGAACTGACATCCTCAAAGTCAGTCCTCCAGCATGAACCTAGTCCTCCATCCTCTCCATCATGCATCCTGGACCCTCACCACTACACTTAAATGCTATTTCTAAGCTCACCTAGGAATGCTAACCACTTCATTAAAGGAGGAAATGACTATAGAGATGTTCTGCACAGGACATTTTGGGACAGCTTTTATATTATTAAACAGAATACTTAATATTCCATTACAGTGCATTTGCTTTTAGATTATTTCTGCTAAGTTTTGTGCTGCCTCAAGGCCACTGAGTGGTTATTGAACATAAGTAGGTATGATGGAGAGAGCCCACCAAAATGAACCCTCTCACAAGAAGAAACGAGGCTGCCCCCAAGTCATGCTTCTGTTTCACATTCAGAACCATAGGAAGTGACTTTCTGGCAGCCTTAGATAGCCATTTTTGTGCTACCTTCCAGGTCCTAGATATTCAGAAATATTAAAATTCCAACCCTCAGGGAAGCCATCAAGAACTGTTAAACAGACATTTGTGGCTGGCTTTAGACACACTATTTTTGTTTTCCTAGACAAAAAGATAGGTTAGACCTCATAGCCTGCTGTCTGTTGAGTTCTCCCAAATGTGCCCAGCAAAGGAGACACAAAACAAGCAGATGAGAGGAAATCCCGGACTGATGTGAGAAAAATACAGAACAACCCTGTGGAGAAGGCAAAGCAGGGGAGAATGAGGCTTCACTCTGATGCTGCCACAGCCAGGGTGAGAAAAGAAGTATAAATGTGTGCATGCACCTGCTATCTGTATCTGTGTGTACAAATACATGCTTATCCGCATACCTACACTATATGAAAACATATTTTCTTTTGCATAGATATGGCCTTAGAGGAACCCAGTTGAACTAGGGAAGTCTTTCTCTTTGAAGAGTGATTTCTCTTCTAGATACATCTCAGCTCCAGAGAGATCTCATGCACCTGTATAGAAACAGACTCTCTGTCCATCCCAACAACAAAACTATTCCACACCCTTATACTTTTACAGTTCATTACAGCCCTTAGAAAGACACTTTTTTGGTTCTGGGACGCTAACCATA